CGGGCCCGCACCCCGCCGCCGCCCCGGGGGCGCGCTCGCCTGCGTGAGGACCGCGTGTGCGCGACCGCGTGCGCGCGTGCAAAGATTGTGTGCGGGGGGGTGCAAGCTTCACGTGTATGTGTGCAAGGACTGCGGCTCTGGAGGCAGAAACTCCCCTTTGTCTAGGCAGTGCGCGCGCGCCTGCGTGTGGCGGGGTCAGTCGGTCATGTCGCGCTTTTAAGCGGTGCGTGTGCGCGGAGAGGAGGCTTTTGCACTTCACGGGCCTGGGTGCGCGGCTGCTGGCGGGGAGGCTCGCACGAAGGGCCGGGAGAGGGGTCCTGCTGTGAGCGGGGCTGGACTAGCTCTCCCGACATCCCTTCCTCCTGCCCTCGTCTTGTGTGATGCCACGCGCGTGTGTGGGCTACACGCTTATTTCTGTAATGTATGGGCTGGAGTGTATATACGCGCACACACGGATACATATGCAAGGGGGAGCTGTATAGATGTGTATATATATAGATAAGTACAATCACCCCTCAGTGTGTGTATATGTGTCTATATACACAAAAAGTCTACACACATGCGTGCCTGTTTGTATAAGCATCCCAGTGTTTGCATGCATGTGTATATATATATATCTACACATACATATGTGTAGATACACACGCACACATACATACATGTGTGTGTGTAATTCCCCTTTAAGCATACACACACACACAAATATATATATGGACCTTACAAATGTGTGTGTACATATACACACATATGTGTGTTATACATGTGTGCCTTTATACACACACACCCATATGTATGTATGTGTGTATACACATACACACTGCAGTGCTTATACAAGCTAGTGTGTGTGTGTATTTATGGGCCATACATGCACATGGGGATGCATATACAAACGTGTGTGTGTGCATGCACGCGTAGACTTTATGCTTAAAGGGGAGTTTTTCTTTAGGCATCCCAGTGCATTAACTGTGCAATGAAGCAGGTTAAAAAGAAGAAGCCTTCTCGACTGATTAAAAGCCTGATGTGACTGAATAGATGTGTGGCCCCCCCGGGGAATCCTCTGCAATTCGCATCCATATACATATATATACACATAGACATACACATATACGTGTACATACACATATACAGGACTGCAAAGAATTCCCAGGAGAGGCCTTTCAAACTCCCTTCACTTCGGGGGGTATTCATTCTCCCAGTTTTCCTTTAAAAAAACCCCCCATCCATACACTGTAGTGCAAAGTCTCTGGGCATGTTCATAAATAACGGGACGCTCTTAAATTGCAGTACTTTTAGCCGAGGAGCTAATTTTCTCCAGGTGCTTAGCTTGGAGGGATCAGAATAAACAGATAATAGAAAGTTGTTACAGGCACCGTTCCCTTCCACTCGGCGTTTAGGAAGTTTTATTCTTTTGACTGATTTCAAACGCTGTGAATAATATGCAGATGTAGTGGAAGGGAAGTGTCGGGGGGGTGGCGATCTTAGCCAGATACATTCCCTTCCACTGGAATCTTTCAAAGGACGAGTTCATTATATTCCAGCGCATTCAATTTGCAAATTCAGTTCCCTGTGCTATTCTTCATGGGTAATAACTGGGAATTGATTGAAAAGGGAAGGCAGGCAGCTTTCAAAGCAGAAAGAGCCCAGTCAAATGGGGATGACCAGAAGATGGGTTAACACACTCATCCTTTCAATGGCCCTTTTATTAGATGCTCACAGGTTGTGATTAACAGCATGTGGCGATTTGATTGTTGAACAAACAATGTCTCTGGCATAAAGGACTCAGCCTGTGAAAGGAACATGAACTCTGCAAGCAAGAGATTGTGCTTGGAGTTTCCAGGCATTTATACAAGCTAATTAGGGCAAATAATAAATTACAGCATCAAATGGGAGATTTGTATTTGATTTGGGTGCTGCTAGCCTCAAGCAAATTATCTTCCTATTGTAAATTATCATGTGCAGGAAAATGACCTTTACCAAAGCAAAAGAGTTTTACTAAATTCTAGAGGAAATATGGAGAAATAAAGAGCAACATAAAGAGGTTGAATTGCATTAGCCCTTCTTGACAGTCTCCCAAAGGAAAACCATTTTCATTTAATGGACTGCTTTCTTTTTTTTAAAAGTTCATCTCATAGGAAAGCACGGTGCCAGCTCCAACAAGTAACAAATCCATCTTCAGAGGTATTCCCCTACCAGCTGTCCACAGAGCAAACAGCTTTCCCTGTCCCTTGCAAGGGAGAGACTACACCCTGTTACAAATCCTTTCCAAATCGTTTCCATAGCCAGACAGAGCACGCTTAGTTTGACATTTGAAAGGTCTGAACCTGTTGCCTAATGGAAAAAAAAGTAAAGCTGGGAGACCTGTTAAAAAACTCGATCTGCCAATAGCATCTGAGAATAATAATTAATTTTTATCCAGACCATTTGGACAACCCTCATTCTAGACCCAACAAGATTTTTCACTGGGCGCGTCTGCACGTGCACATTTACTGTGCAGTAACTGAAATGACTGCACGGTAACCAAAAATTACTGCTCAGTATGGGCACACGTCTACACATGCACGACCATACTGCGCAGTAAACATGGCAACTTATGCCAACTTGAGCATAAATTTGATATCTGTATCATGCAGGTCTCAACTTTACACCTGATTAGTTACTGCACAGTAATGCGCATGTAGACGCCTTACTGTGCAGTAACATTGTGTGCGCGGACTGACTCGGGACTAACTTTAGTCCTAAGTCAGACCACACACAGCGTTAATGTGCTTCAATGCCTGCACGTGTAAACACCGGTTTCTTTCTGCGTATTGTGCAGTAACTTACTGCGCAGCAAATTTAATGTGACATAAATGCACACGTAAATGCGCCCACTGTGACTCAAAATACTTCTCCACCAAAAGAAAGTAACCTTTCAGCAATTACTGACTAACCCTGATGCGTTTTCTTTCCCCCACTAGCCTTCTCTGTCTAATCTACACATGGTTATAAGAAAAAGTAGGCCAAATTCCTCCCTCATTTACTCCGGATATACTCCCTGTGACATCCTGGACTACACTGAGGTTACTCTAGAGTTGCATCAGACTGCAGAATCTGGCCTGCCAGTGGAGGTTAGCAATCAATACTGAATCTAGGCTACACAAGTATAAAATGAATGGGCACTTGGCTTGCAATATCATAGCTGAACTAATGAGATGTGTAATGCTCTTAGCCGGCCTTAATAAATCGGCACACGTCAGCATCACTCGGGTGAATTTCAGGCCGCGTGCAATGCACTGAGAGGCTGGAAGACACATACACTACCACCAGCAGGAAGGCATCCATGCGAAAGTAGTACTATATGAAGAGAAGATGTCAGCCGATTCTGTCCTTGCTGGTGTCTGAGATGCATGAATGTCAAGAAGATAGTGACACCCGGCTCCACCATGTGGAAAATAAGCCATCTCCAGACAACAAAGCAGTCAGCACTTGATACAGTTATCAGCCAAAAAAAGACTTGGGGCTAGCAGTTTTGACCATGGAGCTCTGTTAAGGTCAGTGGTAGTATACAGATTTGTCACCGCTGAAGTTCCAGCCTTTCTCTTCCTATATTAACACCCCGCACGTGGGTTAAGGACATTTAATTTCACCTCTTGCGAGACACTTTAATGACTTGGGTTGAAATAGCTTGCCCGGTGCTGTATTTTTTTCTTTTTAAAGATACAGAGGAACCGTACAACAGGATTGTCGGTTGTCTCTAGTGTTTCATCCTACTCTGAATGTATACAGTGCCTTGCATCCAGAGGTATTGCACCTCCCATTGACCCTGCAGATTTTTTAAGGAACAAGAAGTTATTCCCATTTTGTAGATTGCTAAACTAAGTGACAGAGGGCTGGTGGCTCGGAGGGTTTTAGTTTAAAACAGGACCGATGGAAAAGGAGTTATGCTGCTGTAGCTCAGCCAGGCACGGAGGGATGAAAATGGACTTCTTCAAAGTTATGTGCTGGCATGGATGACGCCTGTGTGTGACTTCTTTTATTGTGGAGAAGCCGCTGCACGTCAGCTTCCACGTGGCTCTTGACAGAACAGGACCTTGATCCAACGGCAAGGAGACCAAGACATCTGGGGATCTTGTTCTGCTGCAGCCTTCATTTGCCTTCGCAGCTGTTGAGATTTTAACTTCTTCTTCCTCCTGCTCTGCTTCTGTAGACCCACACATGGGTGACTGGTGCCTCTCGAGTCTGGGGGGACACCAGAGCGCCGGCTGGGGGGTGGTCTTCCAGCAGCCAATTGCCGACCGGGGCGGGTATCCCCCGGTGGCCAATCACCGA